CTCGCTCTCTCTCTCTCTCTCTCTCTCTCTCTCTCTCTCCCTCCCTCTCAGACTTTATCTCATATTCTCCCCTCTTAAGCAAACAAGGACATTGTTTAATATTGGAATCAAAGCATACACCCACAGAGATCAAATCTTTCAACACCTGCAAATACACACCTTCACCCATTACCAGCCCTACCTGGCTCACATTTGGAAACCTTTGGCAGATAGATCGCTTTGACTTTGACATTCTCACTTCCCTCGCTTTCATGGAGCATGCAACTAAACATCAATCGTCTCAATGTGACAAGGGAAAATGGAAACTGTATACAGCTTTAGAAATTTCCAAATCGTATACTGTTTTGCTGGACTCTTTTCTTTGAGTCTGTTTGTGTCAAGATAATCTTATGGCACATTTATGCAACTACATTGCTTTTTGTGTGTGATTTCCTCGTATTTATGCTGGTCTAATGTTCTGCTGAAGTGTGTATAGGCTGCGACTTTCTGTAATATTCCAGTCCCACCCCCTCTGAAAAAAAACATCCTCCACCTCACCCACTATCGTCCAACTCATTTTTTTTCATGTCTGCCCCGAATCGCTTTCCTCGTACCAGAGCACCTACATTTGGAAATTCTTTTGGAAACGCACTCATAAAGTGTGACTCTGAAGTCAAGCTTTCATTGCAAAACGGATTTTCTCAAAGAAAATGTTTTGTCAGCTGATGTACCTCTTTGCGAATAAAGTAAAGAGAAATGAGTAGAAACCGAATTTAGTTGCCTATTACCTTTTCAGTACGCCGAACATTTTGCTTTCCAAGGGAGGGAATGATTAGATCAATCCGACAATCTTCCCCTTTTTGTTTTCTGATACACGAGAAATGTTCTCTCCCCTTGTCAGCAGCTCCCATCTTTCAGACACCTGCGTGTCCATTCTGGAAGGATTTGCGCATAATGGCGCGCCTTTTCCTAAGCTCTATTTGGCTGAAAATGTGAAAATGTCTTGGCTTCTGTCTGTCTGTACCTTTGCACTTATCCTGCAGAGCTGTTGAAAATATTTACACCACACTCTGTGTGTCTGCGACCCCAGTCTAAATACTGAGCATGTCGGATACAAATGATCCTCTTGTCTTTTCTTTTCATTCACTTTCACCAAGTGTGCCTCGATGTCGTCCACTCTAACAGCTATTTCTGTTCAGACAATATTCATTTGTGGTGTGCGTGTATGTGTGTGTGTGTGTGAATGTTTGTGAGTGTGTGT